TCAGGCGGTACCTCATAGCCCCTGGTGCTCTCTTAGAGCATCATGTAATTTCTATTTTGTGTCAAATATAATTTTTTAATGTACAAATAAATCAATCATAGAAATGGCTTAGATGGTAATGCAACCCACTGGTTCTATTTAATTCTTTCCCTAAAAGGGTTATTTTGACTTGGGCTTCTGCAAAGCCAATATCATGACTGCAGCATCTGTGCCCCTAATATCCAGTGAACCCCTCTCCCAACTAATTGCACCTGGCTCTTAGCGGATACCACTATGTTTGTTCAGTTTACTGGATTTGGCAGGCTATGGTCCCAATAACATCCTACAGTTTGTGTTTCCAAATAGGGTGACCCATCTTGCTGAGCCTTGTGCATTTTCTATGATCTTCCCTAATTCTAATAAAATTCCCACATTAATTCCCCTTTGATTATTATCCCTCTGACCCTAACCATCTGTTTTGGGCCTTCATGGAGGGAGGGTGGACTATCTGTCCATCCTGTTTCAGTTGTATCACTTGAGACAAAAATGCCCCTCCTTTGCATTTTCTGCCAGCTCTGAGACCACCTCACCTGGCAACCACCATGCTGCCAACCCTGTAACTTTTCTGTATGGGTTAAAATCTTGTTCTCCTCCCTCAAAGCCTGTTGCTGCATCAGTTCCCAAATCAGCCTAATCAGACTCCTCCTCAACCCAGCAATGCAAATCTTAAATTAATTAGAAAGCAGCTTAGACTTTAGTTAATCAGAAATTTTCTCCTATTCACCACCCAAATTTTAATATTATGTTGATGCTCAATTCAAATTAACCAGAACCTTTGGGCTAATTGGATGAACTTTATGTTTGGGTGAATTCTGAACTACTAATCTTTACTTCAAACAATTTTGCATGCCAAATATGAAACTCAGTTCCCCCTCATTTCTATGCCCTCAGTCAACTACTCAGTTTAAAAGTGACCATCAAACTTGCTGTTAAAACAATGGCCCTTCCCAACTGACATTCTCTGTAAAGATGTTACCAGATCAGTGGTGATTCTTATAGCTGGTATCCCTTCTACCAATATTCCATCTAGCTTAGCCCCTCTTTGTAAGTGTGACATTTTTAGATTTTTTAAGAGAGCCAATGAAACTATTCAGATTTTTATAGTATCATGGAACCCAAAATTAAAAATCAACTTCACTAATATAGCCACAAATACCAAGCTTCCAACACCTACATCCAAACTAAAGAAAATTTGTCATTTATATTATTGCCTTATCCAAGAAAACTATTTTTTAATATTCTGACATTAGGTAATATTAAATTAAAATAATGCTGATGTCCCTATGTCCTTACTCTTTACCTTTGTAATGGATGGGGTTCCAAAGGCCCAGCCTGCCACCAGCCCTAAACCACCACCCCCATATTTAGCTGTACCAACTCCATATGGTCCTGTCCAAATGGATGGCCTTGCTGGGCATCCAGGCTGAGGTGCGGTGCACCAGCCTCTGTTGCTTTGGGCCCCCAGGCTGAGGTGCATCCCTATAACCTCTGTCACCTTGGGGTTACCCAGCTGAGGTGCAGTCAACCAGCCTCTGTCACCTTGGGCCACTCTGTCTCCTTCCCCTCTCACCAGGGCAAGGCCACTCTCAAAAGGATCCTGGCGCGTCCACCCCCTTTCCTCTCCTCCTCATTGCACTGCCATTTGCACCCGCAATCCTTGCTTAAATAAATAAAATTAAATAAACAAATCCAGCAAATAGCAGCATTTATTGGGAGTAGACCTGAAGTCAGAATAGAATTCCAAAGTGAGTTCAATGGGCTGACCTCACTTTGATATACTTTCCTAAAAAGGCTAAATAAATTGTGGGTAATGAGGGGTGCAAAAGCCTCCAGAATTGATGGCAACCAGGCAACTTGATGGAGAGTTGGAGGAAAACCTCAGAATGCACAATCAATTAAATAAACGATTTTATTTAATTTTATTTTGTTATTGACCCAAATAGGAAAATCCTACTTGGAATAATGGAATTGCAACTATTGACACAAACAAATCTCATAATTCCCAACCTTATGAGATTCATGTACAATCATCAATCGTTATATTACCCCCTTGTAAATGTCATGGTTGGATGACTTAATAGTGGTAATGGATGCTAAAGATAAGGCTGGGTGACAGGAGGCCCAGAAGGTGAAACTTCAGGCTCTTCCTGACCTGAAACACACCTTAGATCAACGCTGGGTGCAAGCAAAGCATGCCCAGGTTGATACTAATGAGGTGCAAAACGCCCAGCCTCTTATCTCAGCCCAGGCACCGAAACAAACAATTTACGTTACAAATATGGTTCAATTTGGTTAATTGGAAAGCAAGGGTTTGAATCCCATTCAAGTTATGAAATTTTAAGATCAGGTAAAATATGGCTTCAATCAATCACTTGAGTGAAGGCACTTTCGGTGTATTTTACAAAAATGGATGGAAGCATCTGTTTATTGGAGCATCAAGGCTTGGGCGCACTTCTGCAGAACCTCAATTTCCCTGACCCACTTTAAATATGTTTTTTGTGACCAACATTTTCATTGGTTGACTTTCTTAAATAAATTTACCCGTTATTTTACGTTTTTACCAATGGTTCCTTGGGTGAACTTGGTGGTGGACCTCTTTGGGGAGGTCTCCAACTATGTGGGCCACTACCTCTTATCACAATTTACCCAAATCCCAGGTTCTCCCTTGGGCCGCCCAGGTCCCCTCCAGATCGAGGCACCCAAGTCTATTGGCACCAAGTTACACTTGATTATGGACTCCCCTCTGGAGTCCACTCAAGCTGTGATGTTTCTTACTTACCTGGTACTCTATGTTGCGCTTTACACCCTTGCCTGGGGTACCTTTTGCACAGGCACCGTTTGAGGTGCCTTATTTCCCATTCTCTTAATGGCTAGTTCCCTAGCAATGTGGGTTTGCATCCCACATCACCTTGCTGGAAATGAGAGAGTTGCAGACACTCTCTTGACAGTAAAATGGAAATACTGGTGGACTTGGACTTGAACTGGTAAGGCAGGCATGCAGCAACCAATGACTTTTTTGACAGGGGACCTTTTTGTGAGAAGCTTGGGGAAATTGACCAGAAAACAGAGCCCTAGATCAAATCAATGGGTTCTCTGGAGGTCTCCTGGTGGGCACAAGAGGCCATCAACTGCCAGCAGTCTGGCTCACCCCCAAGCTACCCATCCCCTTTGTTGGAAGGCCCTACAAACCAATGAAAGGGACCAATGACCAATGGCAATGCTTGGGACATTGACCACGGTTATCTTGCAGGCTGGATGGTACCACAGCCTGCCAAGGTAAATTTGACTTTGGAATAATGTAACAGATGGGGCTCCCAAGGCCCAGCCCACCAACAGCCCTAAATCACCACCCCCATATGTGGCCGTACCAACTCTGTATGGTCCTGTCCAAATGGATGGCCTTGCCAGGCATCCAGGCTGAGGTGTGGTGCACCAGCCTCTATCACTTTGGGCCCCTGGGCTGAGGTGCATCCCTCAGCCTCTGTTGCCTCGGGGTTACCCAGCCAAGGTGCAGTCAACCAGCCTCTGTCATTTTGGGCCACTCTGGCTCCTTCCCCTCTCACCAAGGAAAGGCCACTCTCAAAAGGATCCCAGCGCATCCACCCTCTTTCCTCTCCTCCTCATTGCACCACCATTTGCACCCCCAATCATTGCTTAAATATATAAAATTAAATAAACAAATCCAGCAAATAGTGGCATTTATTGGGAGTAGACTTGAAGTCAGAATAGAATTCCAAAGTGAGGTCCAATGGGCTGACCTCGCTTTGATATACTTTCCTAAAAAGGCTAAATGAATTGTGGGTAATGAGGGGTGCAAAAGCCTCCAGAATTGATGGCATCCAGGCAACTCGATGGAGAAACAGTGGGGAACCTCAGAATGCACAACTAATTAAATAAATGATTTCATTTAATTATATTCCATTATTGACCCAAATAGGAAAATCCTACTTGGGATAATGGAATTACAACTATCAACGCACATCAATCTCATAATTCCCAACCTTATAAGATTCATAATCATCAATTGTTACAACCTTGTCCTGTACCTTACTCTGGGATGAGAAAGATGCAGCTGAGGATGAGCCACAATCCCCCTTCCCCTTCTTCCATAGTCAGATAAGTAGTTCTCCACTTTCCCACCTGGTTGTTTGACATAGTTCAGTTTTTGTTAAGCTCTCTTGGTGCGTTTTGGTATATCTGCATTAAAAAAGTATTTGAGATGGATCAACCTTAGGGTAAATATACCATACTGGGATTTTTAGCTAGTACAGGTTTCAAACTTGAATTGAACAGAACCTGTACTAGAGTGGAAGCAGAAATTATTCTGCCATGCTAACCACCCTGGTACATATGCATTAAGTTTTCTTTATTTTTAGCTCTTTGAGCAATTGGTAATGCCTGTCAACTGGTCTGCTTACATCAATTATATGCCTATAAATCTACTCTCATTTAGGCACTTATAAGGAAATGACCTATTAAAGTAATATAACTTCTTTTAGTGAATTTATTTGTCACCATAATTTTACTTATAAAATAAGAATATCAAATAGGTCCCTTTATATAGCTTTATAAGCTTATAGTTTTTTCTTAAGGTCTTAGTTGATGTGCATTTTAGTCCTTGACAGAACACTGTATCATGACAGCATGTGGCAAACAACAAGAAAGCTTGAAATTTGGGGCTTGAGCATAAATTTAAATCACAAGTGCTAAAAAGTTATATGAAAATGGTAATAGTTTATGTTAAATATAATATAATGAGCCCTAACTTTTTTAGAAATCAACCAAGTATAAGTTCAATTTGTGATTTTTAAAATTTAAAATAGTGAAATACCCTAGAAACATAAAATTACACTGAATTGATTATGATATTGAGCGCTGAACACTAAGTTTAAGTAAGAGAATTATGAGGATACTTAGTAGTGTCTTGAGTTTCCTCAATACTTGAAAATTGCTAAAATAATCTCCCTGGCGGAGAATCGAACCCCAGCCGCTCCGGTGAAAGCGGAGAATCTGGCCACTGGACCACGAGGGACGTAGTAATTTAATACTTACTCATCTACTTAAAAAATTTCACTGACTGACGTACTGACTGACTGAAATCTGAAATCTTCGAGTCTGATAGGTTCAATCTATTTGGGTGAGTGGGTGAGAATTGGCGAATCTTATCGAATTTGAATTTTCGAGCCTGATGGGTTCAATCTATTTGGGCGATTGGGTGAAGATTGAAAATATTGTTGAATAATTCACCAAATTGCTCACCTAAAGCTAATTGAGTCTAATAAGTTTAATCTATTTGGGTGAGTGGGTGAGAATTGGCAAATAAGATTGAATTTGAAACTATGGAGTATATGTTCAATCAATTTGGGCGAGTGGGTGAGAATTGCCAAATATTAGCTAATAATTCACCAAATTGCCCACCTGAAACTAAATAAAAATCAGTATTAGGGTTTAAGTAGATTAAGTAGAATCTTCAGCTCACCAGCCACGAGGGCAACAGCGAAGCTGTTAGTCTGAGTGGCTCGAGAGTAGTACTTTTTTTTAGTACTAGATGGGGCTCGAGAGTAGTACTGGCACAGCCTATAACTGTCAGTGTGAGCTTATCATCTGATAAACTTTAAATACCGTAGCGAAGTACGTGTATCTGGATGTTAGGTTTATATAATTTTAAAAAACCTGCTTAATTTGGTTCCTTTAATTAATAAATACTTTTGGCAAGTTAATTAGTTGATATATTAGTTTGGAAGAATGTCACGTACACAATGATTTTATATATAGAGAGATGTTTGGGTAGCAGTTTGGTGTTATTTGATTAATTCGATATGTTTATTTTGTTTGGCCGAGTGGTTGATGGCTTTTGTTCGAATCGATAGGATACAGTTTAGCCTTGAGGGGTGATTAGTTATTGGTTGTTTTGATAAGTTCAGTTAGGTTTAGCTGAATGGTTGGTGGGTTTTAATCGATTCGATTGAGCAATTAAATTTGGCTGAGTGGTTATTCTTTATTTATAATAATATAAAATCTAAATTAATAAATTTGAATATCTAAAAATCTATAGACACGGTTCGAAGCACGAGTAATGAATGACTAGTTGAAACTAAAAATTAATACAAACTTAAGTTTATCGAAGGTAAATGTTAAAAGCATGGCAATGTCTTTAAGCCGCCAGCTAAACGCAACATTTCTTTCGAACCATAAACGATTGCCTGTTTGAATTCATTGTCGTAGAATCGTTCCGTGAATTCCGCATCCGCTGCTATCTCTTCAGTTTTCACGCGTTTCGGCGAAACCGCAGCGATTGCCTGTTCGAATTCAGCTGCTTCGTTCGCTCGCTTAGTTGCCATCTCAATTTTCTTATTCAATTTACGTTTTACATGCTCTTTGGTTTTCCTTCGCTTCTCTGCCAGTTTCGTATTGTAGAATGTATCGATTTTCTCCTGCTCAGTCATCGTCGACGCGAACGGTGTATTTATTAAGTACTCGTTCAATTCTTTGCGCATCAAGTTATCTTGCTTTTGTTTTTGTTGCGACGGGGCCTCTGGTACCGAAGTTTCACCGCTGACAGCAACCGCTTGTTGCTGTTCTTTCTCGAGCTTCTTTTGTACCCGATACTTTCTTGCTCGCTCGGCATGTTGTCGGTTCTTGATCTGAACCTTCTCATCGCTGCTATCCATTGTCGAATGCTGTTGTCAATTGTATTGTGAAATACACTGCTGCTGTGATATAATATAAATACAGCAGTGTATTTCACAATACATTTTA